CATGACAGGGGTTTCCAAAGGCTGATAGGCACAGAAACTATGCTATGAAGCTGGCACTCCTTTCCTCCACGTGTGCCACCCGTCCAGATCCCATACAAGGGTGGGTGAGGGATCTTCCATCATGCTCAGCAGTAGAGCAGAGCAACAGGGCTAGGGGCCCTGAAGAACAAGAGCATTCAGATTTTACACCTAGTTACCTCTTCCATACAATATTCCCAACCTCTTACCTCCTATTTTGATATAATTCTCTGCATGGCTTCCCTGTGGTCTAATAACGCTATACAAAGAAATATGTTCTCACCGCATTCTCTGGGGATGCACTGGGACTTGGTTCCTTCTTGCAAGCAGCTTAGGTTTCTTGAGATGCTGCCCACATTGTGGTTTGGGTGAGGTCAGAACAGATGTAGGCAACTCAAAGCCAGCCATTACCTGTTTGAAGTTTCCTGGCTATAGGTGGGCTAACCTGCTGATGACTGAGAAATTTCTGATTCTTGCTGCAATCGGGTCTGGTCCCAAGGTGTCAACACAGGAATTGTCTGATAGGACCAGACAGTGCAAAGGAAGGGGTACAAACCCTTCAGCAGGCAGATGTGGAGTGATATGCTCCCACACCCAGACTGGTCCTACCATAAGTGCAGCTCTTCCTCCTGCTGTCCTGCTAGAGAGCAGGTGGGGGAGAAGAAAAACCAGGCCTCAATGGGCGTGTCTACACATCCCTAGTAACGTGCAGCAATAAACTCTGGAGTTTATTGCTCCCAGGCACCTCTGCACGTGCATCTGGGATTGCAGCACGTTGAGCCGCAACAGAACAGCCCCAGCTGGCAGGAGGTCCAGGGGGGGTCAACCTGTCAGCTGGGGGCTTTTCCCCCTGGCTCAGTGTGCCACAGAGGGAATGGCTGGGGCAGGAGGGTGCTTCAGTGCAGGCAAAGCTATCAAGCAGCCTCTGCGTTGAAGCACCCTAATGCCCCAGTCAGTTGGGGCAGCATCTAGTTTACTCCAACATAATAGGGGCACTGGTATAGACATCAAAACATTTACTGCGCAGCTGATTAGTCTACTAAGCAGTAAACGTCTTGTTTAGACGTGCCCAGTAACTTCTATCCTAGGTCTGCAAGTTGCTGAGGTTCAGGGAGCACCCTATACAGACAGGGGGCTCTGATTCAGCTCCTGGCTTATTTGTGCTTAGCTGTGCTTCATTTTTCATAATGAAACATGGTGATCTCTCCAAGCTTCCTAATGGTGTTTCTGGCTGAATTTGTATATAACAGGGCTGGTCTGAGCTATGGTAATCAACCCCTTATTGGTGGCCAGTAGTATCAAGGGTACAGCAGCCTGGAGGCAGCACTGGACATATTTCGGCTGCCAAGTCCTGTAGGAACAACCCCTGGTGGGTCCCATTCAGACACCTGGCTGAAGTAGGGATGATTTTCCTACGGCTGGCAGTAAAAGGAAAAGCAGCAAATGCTTGAGATATAGTGACCAAAGCAGGGGCATTTCAAGGTAAAACAATGCCTAGTTTGGCTCTTGGGCCTCCAGGAAAGGGCCAGGGCCTCTCAGCCCTTCTCCCTGGGATGGCCTCTCCAATGCATTCCTCAGTCAGAGGGTACTAGATAACATGCATTTTTCCATGCTGGGATCAGTCCACCCTGCTTTGTTCTGCTCTTGTGGCTACACTTCCTGTACAGCCCCTGTTGGCAGGCTGCCCCACTTTCAGTAGTAATTGGGTTACAAGGGCAATAATGGTCCCTGGTTGCATATGCTCTCCCTTTTACAAGGAGAGCAAGCCCTTCTCTTGGGTCCCACGCTCCATTAGAAGACGTGGACTTGCTTCTACACTGCTTCCCAGGGTCTAGGGCACCTGGCCCCAGACACCCACCCCTTCCCTGCCCAGGGTGTGATTGCTGCCTCTGCATGTCTGAGACTTCCCTGGGGGCCCCTTGCTGATCAGCTCTGTGGCTGCCATGCCCTTGCCTGGGCTCTGCTACTTCCCGCATGCTCTGCACAGACCTGCACTCTGCTGCAGTCTGCCAGGCATGGCCTGCTCTGCACGTGACTCCTCGGCTTCTCTGCAGCCCCTTGCTTGCTCCGCTCATCAGCGCCAGCTCAGCTTCCTGCTTGCCACGTAGCTCCACAGCCTTCCTGTGCTCCTCCCTGAAGTAAGAGGCCAATTCCGGGGTCCAGTCCTGCTCAGAACTCCTGCCTCTTTCCCGGAGGGTCTCGGAGGTTGATGGGAACAGTAGCTTGTTTCCTGTTCAGCAACTACATTCTGATTTGCCAGGGGAGCATAGATTCAAATGTAGATAGATCACTGATGTGTTTTAATGCTCACTGAAATTTAGAGTGGGTTGTTGTGGCTTTTGATCTTTGCACGTGCACAGGCAAATGCCCAAGTAACTTATCTGCATTGGGAAGGTATGAGTGCACACAGAAGCAGATGCAGGATTTCACAACTGGGGGTGTGGGAGCAGTGACCAGTGTGGCAAGGTGGTTTCCAACCTCCTCCCCCACCTTTCCACAACCATTGCAGGCTGACCATGACATGGGAACTTTCAGGGACTTTTTAAAGTCCCTAGAACAGGTAAAAATCCTGCCCCCTTACCCTCCCTGCTCAGGGGCACAGCCCTTCTCTTCCCCTTCCCCTCCCCCATCTCCCATTTCCCTGTCCTGCTACTGCTGCTTTGCCTGCTGTCTCGGGAGCAGGGAAAACTCTAGAGCCACTTGTGTCTGCTCCAGCTGGACTGTTCAAGGGCTGTGTTCAGCTGCAGACAATGGTAGCAGGCAGGTGGATTCCCCTTCCTCAGGCCTGCAAGGGATTGGGCTGGGAGAAGAAACCTGCCTGTGGCTACTGCCACTCTTTTTTGTCTCTCTTCAGCTTAGCCTGGCCCCTGTGCAGCCCAGCTGGAGCAGGCAGGAGCAGCTCTGGAGATTCCCCTGTGCCCTGGACAGCAGGTAAAACAGCAGTGGCAGGTGCAGGAAGGGACTGTGGCTCTGAGCAGGGAGGGGAAGTTGGGGGGATTCTTATCTCCTTTGGGGGGCTTCTGGCTGCTGCTCCCATGGCACTATCCAGCCCAAAATGGGGGTGCAGCCACGCTACTGCACCCCTTCTGGATCCACCCCTTATTGTGCATAAGCAGATGTGCCTTTCAAGTGGACCGAATCCTTTTTGCTTCCCTCTGAGCAGAGTGCTTCGCTACCTGCAACTGCTAGAGGGAAACTTGCAGTACTGGGCAAGCTTCTCATTCCTGCCCTAACTGATAGAAAGGGGCCAGTGAGTCATTTCAGATGGTCTAGGGAATCCTCAGGTGATCAATTAAGTTGTTTTTTTTATGGTCTGTTTGCACCACTAGAGCAGAACAAGGACGCTACATGTGTCATCTCCCTTTGTCTTTCCTTCAAGTCCCACATCCAGACAGAGCACACAGATCTCTTCCCATACTAATGCCCATAGTCAGAATATGGGCCTCTCTCTCTGTGCCTCGTACACCGGTGTTGTTTGCTTGCATGTTAGTCTTATTGCACGGACACGGTTTGCTGTAGCCTTGCTCACATCCTCATCCTGGCCTACCAGCTCACTTTCATGAGCTCATTTCCATGTCTTACAGCTGTTTGGTCATAAAGAAGTTTATCAGATACTTAAAGTATGTTCACACAGCAGACGCAGTGCCTGGCAGAGGCCTGCTCCCAGTCTGGAAGCTGTGGAGCTGCATGGTGCTATGAGCAAGCTATTGAGCATGTAGCTGGCTATCAATGCTGCTAATATGCCCACCTGCTGTGAAGTGTGACCACAGCTATACTGCTTCTGATTCAAGGGGCAGCTTGTGCATTGTATGAAGGCACCGGAGCCTGGCACGGCAAGTTTGCAGAGCAGATGTGTAGATTCCTCTTTAGGTGTCAGTTTAGCTAGAGACAGACATTCAAAAATCTTGAGCCTAAACTGATTCAATCTTTGCAGGCTAGCCTAACCTGGCTAGGCTGAATCAGTTTGTAACTGGACAGACGTTCTCTCTCGACTGAGGAAATTCAGGCACGTGCCTGCAGTGGCTCAGGCTAGAAGCTGGGGGGCACTAGAGCAGCCCTCCCTTCCATTGCACAGTACTAAGCTGAGGTGGGGTGTGGCTAGGCCCCAGCTGGATTCCGTGATTAGGGAGGTCTGCCTGCACCATCCCAGGCTTTTCCCCGCTCAAGGGGCAAGAGTGTTGCCAGAGCCCAGCCCCTGCTAGCACTCTGAGGCAAGGAGGGTGGGAGGGTGCAGTGCATGCATCTGTTGAGCTTTTCAATCTCCCTCCCTCCTTTTTTATACCATCTGCAGCAAACTGACAGGAGAGCAAGCCAGCAAGGGGCTAATAACAGAGTTTATCACCTGATGAGCAAAACAATAGCCTCTCTTCATTACTTCAAACTCTTCTTAAACAGCTTACCAGCTGACCTGTTGATCAGCTCCAAACAGTCTTAAGCAATCACTGTTGTCTGCCTGTCCAAGTGAAATTGGAAACACACAGGTCTGCATTAGCTAGCATACCACATCCCTAGAGCCTGCAGGGCTGGAGTCCCTGCTGTGGGAGATGGGAGGGAGGGGGAGATTTCCTGCTTGAGCAGCAAACGGGGGTGGGGGGTAGGGCAGGAGGAAGCCGGGCAAACCCTACTGTGCCTGCAAGTCTCTGCTGAGCTCCAGCCAGGGAGCAGAGGGAAGGGGCCAGCCCTGCTGTGGAGTAGAGAGCCTCACCCAGCCCAGAGAGCATGTTGGGATGCTGGGGGTGTCTGGTTTATCTTAAACCAGCAAGGGGTCTGGGACAGACATTGCATAAACCAGTTTGAGCTAAATCAGTTAAGTCTAATATACTACGTTCAACCAGGTTTATCTCAAACCGGTTTCAGCCATTTTCAAACTGGTCTATGTGCACTAAACACCTGTTCTGTTACAGGTTTAAATCAGTTTCTGATCACTTAAACCAGTTTATGTGTAATGTCTGTCCCTAGCCTTTATGTTTGCATAAAAGCCACTGCTGCCTTAGGTGTCTGGAGCTCTGTACCTCCCCTCAATACTTTGTTGAAGTTGATTCTGGATTTTCCCTATGCAACATTCCCACGACACTGGGGAATACAGAAAAGAAGGATAAGTTCTCTTACACATTCACAGGTAACAAAGATTGGGCCCACGCCCCAGAGTTATGATCTAGAACCAGATTTTCCTGAAGTCTCTGGTTCTGGTCTTCTTTTGATATTGACCCTATCCTTCAAACTAAGTGTCCTGGCAAAATAACATCACCCTTAAAATATTGAGATTGTGAATTCACCAGAAACTTGTAAATGGCATAGAGTTCCAAGAAAATTTAGGAAGCAATGTCCTGAATATGGACTCGGGGAATGGTTCCATTTTGTGGCCATATATTTTGTTAAATTAAACCACAAACCAAAGCTCTTGAACATATCAGCTTTGAGGTAGCAGGAGCTAGGGCATACAGGTTGAGTCTTGTGCTGCATACAAAGCTTTTTCAGACTCCCAGGTCCAATTACAAATCAGTAGTACTCAAGAAATAGGGACTGCATGGCTGCCAGGGCAGGAGCCCATGGGACAACTGGATCTGAAAGATCACTGGGAAACATGAAAAAAAATCTTTTTATTGCCCTTTTCACTGTCATGCCACCCATTGGCCTTCTGGAGGAGGGAGGTTGTTAGATGGTTTCTGCTGCTCCCTAATCAGCCAGAGGCATTGAAGTTGAGCAATCTGAGGCACACCTTCCCATGCACGAAGTGAATGTGCTGCAGCTGCACGTGCTGCCTCAGTAGCGCTACACATCCCTGCCATTCAGTCCCATAGCTCTTGATTGACAGCCTGCCACTGAAGAAGACAAGATGATAAGTGTTGAACATCTCCCCACACCACAGAGCTGTGCTGATTGTCGAACCCAACAGTGGCATGAGTGCTAGAGCAGAGGTTCCCAGACTTTTCTTATTGTGGACCCTCTTCCAGATTCACCAGCTGCCCATGTACTACCCCTACCAGCGTACATTTTATATTTTAATCCCTTAAATGCCAATTATTATGATAATGAAAATTAAATCCGTCATTACACAATTTCTCCTGCATACCCCCAGAGATGTCTTGCATACCCTCGGGCATATGCGTACCAGTTTGGGAGCCTCTGTAATTAGAGGGTCTTTAGCTCTTGAACGACAACATCTCTAGTGCTATTATAGAGTTGCAGTGTGAGACCCGAACTCCTTTTGCTGAGGGAGCATCAGAGTATTTGTGCCTGCATATGCTAGTGTGTTTAAGATTTTCAAATTTGTTTATATCTGAATGGCCACTAAATTCCATAGGCTCCATCTTCAGCCATTTAAGCACTGCCAGCTGTGTTCATTGTAATTAGAGCACTTCAGATGTCTCTGCCTTCTCCCAGAAACTCTCATTATGTTTTTGACTGGTTGTATTTATTTCATTCTAGTGACAGAGTACAGGGTTTCTGTCACTACCTCAGCCTGAGATAACTGGAAAATGCTACAGTTGGCATACATATTTGTATAGCTCCATTAATGTAGGAAGGGTAGGATCACTGAAACTCCTGAAAGGAGAGCCATTCAATCCTGCTTCCCTCTTGCTGGGAGTTCCCCATCTAAAGTGACACTGAAAGGCAGAGGAAAAAGAGAGGTCTTAGATGAACTAAAGGGCCACTGGGAACAGTAGGGATGCAAATAAAAACAAAAAATATTTCCCCTAGTAACAATCATTTAAGTAGCAGTTGGAAGCAGTAATGTTTAGAGCTTTCAGAGAAAGTTCACTGGCTTCTTCCCAGTTCTGTGATCAACTTGTTGCATGTGTGGCTGTGCTAGTAACTTCACCTCGGGGTGCTTTTGCTTTCCCAAGTGGGATTCATGACTAGACTGAAGATCCTTGTCTAGAATCTGCAATAGAAGTGCAAGGTGCTGAGTAAGTTTTGGATCCCATGCATGTTCAGAAACATGTGCCTGATGCAAATAATGGAGATTAAATATTTGCCTTTTTCATGCCCAGCCCTGGAAGCTATTCCAAATTTAAACAATGAAAGGTGCATAAGATCCAGCGAGTCAAGAAATAAGAGTTTTGTAATAATGAGCTCTCACTTTTATGGAGTGCCATTTAATGCATGGTATCTGTTCATCAAAGGGAGGCATTAATTAGAATCTGTTGGTATAAAATGTATTTCAGGAATGGAAAAAAACAAAACAAAAATGCTTCTACATAAAGTAGTAAACTCATCATTGAATGATACTTACAAAAACAGGAGTTTCTCAACAAGGATATTTTGTATTCTCTTAGTAGAAGAAAGTAATTTTTTACTCAAAAAGAAGAGTCGCTATTGTCTGGAACCCTCAGTTTTTCATAAGATATCTTTCAGGGTATTGTACTGAAGGCTAATGATGAGGGCAGCTGGATAATTTAAGCTGGTAATGAGATGTAGGTGGCAGCCCTTCTTCTGAGTCAGCAGTTTGAACAACAGCAAAAATCTGTATTTACAGCCAAAGATCTTGTGCTTTACCCATGTCATTAAGCCTCATACAAACCCTTGGGATTCTTGCTGCACAATACTCACTGGACAGATGGTTAAACCTAGGCACAAGAAAATTCCTCTCCCACCCATTAAACCACCCACTGGACCAAATTCAGAAGCGATACAGACAGGTGTGTAAATTGCAAATCTATACTGTGTGGAAGGGAGACTAAGTAGGTATAACTTATAGACAGGGTGCCAGACAAAAGCGTATGTTGCAATATCTACAGCACTAAACTCTTCTTTCTTCTTGTTTCACAAATGTCCCTGAAAGATTGGATTAGAGCAGGGCAGAGGTTTCGTATTTTGTAATGCCAAAATCAGTAAATAACCTTAAAAGATCCCAGTTCAGAATGCTCTTTGGAAGTTGTTCCCATTTGCAGTGGAAACATGAGGTCTTTAATAGGAAGAGTGTTTCAATAACTTTCTGGTATTTTTCCACTTTGGCACAGCTGCTCCTTGCCAGATTGCAAGAGAGAAGAAAGAATTCAGTGCTAGCAGCTTGATCCTGCAGGATAGGATGCTGAGCATTTCTGCCAGGGACTGAGTGCCCTCAACCCCCATGGAAGTCAGTTTGAGTTTAGGGAACTCAGCATCTCACAAATGTGCTTAACATCACAGAGTCATAGAAGTTTAGGGCTGGAAGGAACCTTGTGAGATCATCGGGTCCAGCCAACCTGCTCTGGGCAGGAAAGACTGCTGGGGTCAAATAACCCCAGCAAGGTGTGCGTCCAGTCTCCTTTTGAAGATCTCCAGGGTAGGTGCCTCCACCACCCCCGCTGGGAGTCTATTCCAGAGTCTTGTCACATGAACCGTAAAGAAGTTTTTCCTTCTATCCAGTCTGAAACCTTCTTCTAGGAGTTTATGACCGTTGCTCCTGGTTTTCCCCCTGGGGTGCTTTGGTGAATATTTGTTTGCCTAGCCTCTGATACTCACCCAGATATATTTGTAAGCTGCCACCAAATCCCCCCCAAATCTTCTTGTTTCTAGGCTGAACTGTCCCATATCTCTCAGCCTTTCCTCGTATGGCTTGCTCTTCAAGCCTCTAATCATATAAGTGGCTCTTCTCTGGACTCTCTCAAGCTTCTCCACATCCTTCTTGATGTGTGGTTTCCATAGAACTGGATGCAGTACTCCAGCTGTGGTCTCACCAATGCCAAGTAGAGCAGGAAAATAGTACCTTAGTTCTGCTAGAGATGCATTGGTTGATGCATGCCAGTATATTGTTTGCTTTGCTAACTGATCACACTGATAGCTCATATTCATTTTATGGTCAATTATGACCCACAGGTTCCTTTCGGACGGGGTGCTAGCTAGCATAGCACCACCGAGCTTGTAAGTTTTGTTGTGGATTTTTCCTCCCCAGATGGAGCACTTTACACTTCTCAGTGTTGAATAGCATCTGGTTCTGATCTGCCCACCTAATTATTCTGTCTAGGTCTGCCTGGATCATCAGCCTACCCATGGCCACACTTCTCCAGAGTTTAGTGTCATCAGTGAACTTGGTCAGTGTGTTTTTCACCCCCACATCTAGATCATTGATGAAGATGTTGAAAAGCACTGGTCCAAGTACCAAACCCAGGGGGACTGCACTGGCTACCTACCGCTAGGTCAACACAGATCCATCTGTTAGTACCCTCTGGGTCTGACCCTGCAGCCAGTTTCCCACCCATCTGACCATTGAATTGTTGAGCCTATAATCCCCTAGTTGTACCTTGAGAGCCTCATGGGACACCAAGTCAAAGGCCTTCCTAAAGTCCAAGTAAATGACGTTGACCTCATAGTTTCATAGTTTCATAGTTTCAGGGTCGGAAGGGACCTAATAGATCTTCTAGCCCGACCCCCCGCCAGGGCGGGAGAACAACCCAAAAAACACAACAAAACCACTCACCCTAAAAACAAAAACGGGACTCAAATGAGTCCAGCCAGGTAGGTATCCAGCCTCTTCTTAAAGATCCCCAGGGTAGGGGCCAGCACCACCTCCCTTGGAAGTTGGTTCCAGCTCCTAGCCGCCCTGACTGTGAAGTAGTTTTTTCGGATGTCCAATCTGTACCTCCTCTCCATCAACTTGTGCCCATTATTCCTTGTTATGCCAGCAGGGGCTAGGGGAAACAGCGTCTCCCCCAAACCCTTCTGGTTCCCCCTAGTGAGTTTATAGACGGTCACCAGGTCCCCCCTCAGCCTTCTCTTGTGGAGGCTGAATAGGTTCAGGTCCCGCAGTCTCTCACTGTAGGGTCTGCCCTGTTGTCCCCGGATCATGCGGGTGGCCCTCCTCTGGACCCTCTCCATGTTGTCCACATCCCTCCTGAAATGGGGCGCACAGAACTGGACACAATACTCCAGCTGCGGCCTGACCAGCGTCGCATAGAGGGGGAGGATCACCTCCCTGGCTCTACTCGAGATGCACCTGTGGATGCACGACAAGGTCCTGTTAGCCCTGCCAACCATGACCTCGCATTGTCGGCCCATGTTCATCTTGGAGTAATCTAGGTGGTGAGCAATCTGGTCGTAGAATGAAATGAGGTTAGTCAGACATGACCTACCCACAACAAAACCAGACTGGCTATTGTTCAGAATTTTGCCTTCTACTAGCTTATTGCAGATGGACTCCTTGAGAAATCTTTTGAGGATTTGTCCTGGGATTGAGGTCAGGCTGATCAGCCTGCAGTTCCCTGGGTCCTCTCTCCTCCTTTTCTTGAAGATAGGTACAACATTGCCCCTCTTCCAGTTTTCTGGGACCTCTTCTGAGCTCCACGAATTCTCAAACGGTTCACCGGCAGTCCTGCTGACTTATAGATGTCCAGACTCTCTAGCTGTTCTTTCACCAGCTCTACATTGACTGTGGGTAGATGATCATCCCTACTGTGACTATTCTGTGTCATATTTGCATTTGGCAGGCTATCACTTTTAGACTGATGGAATACAGATGGAAAAGTATTCGTTCAGGAGTTTTCTCCTTGGTGTCAGTGATCAGATGTCCAGATGCATTGAGCAGTGTTCCTGTGTTTCCACTGTTTTTCCTCCTGTTACCTATGTATCTATAGAAAGACTTCTTATTGTCCTTGATTTCAGTTGTTAACTTGGATTCAGTCACCGCCATTGCTTTTCTAATCTGCCCCCTACAGGTGTGGACCAATCTTATGTAGATCCTGGAGTGTCCTGTCCTCCTTACCAACTTGGCCTTGCAAATGACTCTTCTACTTCTGTGGAAATGAGCCAGAAACTGCCTTGCTCTGAGAAACACCATTCTGGCCTTTCTCTGTTGGAAAGGGCTTTGTTGTTATGTGACACCTAAAAAAAGAATGAGTCTCCCAGATTTATGGCTTTTTCCTCCTCAGAAAAGCAGTATCCAAATTAGGCATTGCTAAAATCAAATCACAGAGCTTAATAATAGCATCTGCACAGCTGAATTATTTGTGTTTCTCCTTGTGTTGAGTTTGTAGGGATGAATTGCTAAGGGAAATAGCTTTTTCCCTTTTTCAAAACCAAATATAGAAACCAGATGGATGTTGATTACACCAGAATTAAATGGTTTAGGGGGTTGTGGTTTTTTGTTTTGTTTTGATTGATGAAATAAAGTAGCAGTGAAATATCCATGTCAATTGCCATCCTGGCCAGAACAAACTCAGTAACAGGTTCAAACGTCAAATACTAGCAATTGTGCTCACTGACGTGTTGAAGGCCGGTGGCTCTTTCCATCTTACCACCACAATTAAGTTTTGAGGTGGAATTCTGACCCTATTCAAGTACATGGCACAACTACCATTGACTTCAGTGGAGGCAGGATATAACTCTGGTTGTTTTATTTCTGGCCTTTTCTGCTGTTTTGCTGTGTTGAAAGCCATTTCAGGATCTTGCATTGTTTGAAATGAAGTAGGAAAAATGTTTTTACTTTTTCTGACTTAATACCTGACCCTTCCTTTGTTCCTAGGTATTTTCTCCCCTGCCATCAAGACTCGATTCTTTTTTATGGTATCCCTTGCAGGAAGTGTAATATTTGAGTGACTAACATATTGCTGGATCGTTGTCCAAAAGAGGAAGAAGGCAGCTGGCCGAAGCAAGACAGATGATGAAGCATTTTGACAGTTTAGGGGCAGATCCTCATCTGGTCTGAACTGTAAAAGCTTCTCTGGTTTCAGTGCAGCTCTGGCAACATAAATCGGCATCTTCCACAACTGAGTGAATCTACCCTCTCACAGCCATGGTTGTTTGTAATCCAGCAGATTTCCCGCCTATGGCAGGGGGGGGGGGGGTCCGCACTTCAGAAGGTACTACACTGGCAGGGGGCTGGACTCTCTGATCTCATGAGGTCCCTTCCAGCCCCTAATGGACCAAACATGGATATCCAGCCTAGATATCCAAGGCAAGGTCTTTTGTGGTGGTATCTTTTACTGGATTAACTGCATTCCAACTTTACAGTTGGTTCAGTAAAAAAATATAATCCATAAAAACCCTTGCCTCTCTCTAAACTAACAATTATTTTCAGAAAGGAACTACAAGACATGGTTTTAAAGCTACCAGCTTTACAGGATATAATGTTGGAGTTTCCTAGAAACTGTAGGATGAAAAGTAGCTGCCACCTGTTACAACAGGCTCCATTCAGATTTGGGTTTTGAGCAGTCAGTCACCATGCTTGTGAGCTCCATGGGAACTGCAGTTCTCATTAACGCTACTTCCTGCTCCCCACAAGCAGTAATTTCCTGTCTATGTGAAGCAGTGTTTGTTCCTTCCGTCTCCAGATGAGTATGATCATTGTGTTTATTTTGAAAAGCTGTCTGCAAAATTCTTTATTATTTTGCTTATTTAAAAAAAATAAAATCCAAGCAAATAAACATTAAAAAAAAAAAAAATCCATCTGGCCTGTATGCAGACAGCCCTTCCAGTGCTGGCACTCTTAAATTAGAAAAGGATATTGGCTAAAGTTTTCCAAAACCTTTTTAAGTGACTTAGGAGCTTGAGTTCCATAGATTGAAACCAGGTGCACAGCAGAAACTTTTGCTGACATAGTAATGTCATTTAGGGGTGAGATTTATTTTTTTGCAAGGTTTCCAGACCAGCAAGAAGCGTTTTTGCTGGTATAGCTCATTTTGCTCACAAACCTAATGTAAATAACTCAAAATCACTCTTTGCCAGTATTAGTTTCAGCTGCACTGTGAAGGCATTCATATAATTCGTCTGAGACGCATTCTCTTGTATAGTTTAGGCCTTAGATACCCGCGGCAGATTTTTAAAGGTCTTTAGGATATAATTTAGGTATCTAAGTACCTTTTAAAAATAGTTACCAAAGTCCCATTTATTCGTCTCTTCACTTTTGAAAATGTCACTTAAACACTTCTGAAAAATTGGTCTCAGTTCTCTTTTTGTTTAGGAATCCAGAGCAGTTTCTGCTTTATATATGGAAAGAAATTGAAGTAGAAGGATTATGGCAGGGGGGGGGGGGGGATGTATATGCCTGTAAAATGGAATATATGTTTTGACCAGGTGATGATACACTCTTTCCCCATGAAATGCTGGTACTGGAAGACTGAACAAGGAGAATCAGTCCATCCAGCCATCTAGATTAAGGGCATTCATTACTGAAGTGCAAAATCATTTTTTCTAAAGCAGTATCTTGTTGGCTTTGTTTCAGCATTGCACAAGTGTCAAACCAACATCATATTTATAGGATTGGCAGTGCTATGCTCGCTAGCTCCACAACCGAAAGAGACTTGGGGATCTTGATTGACCACAAGATGAATGTGAGCCACCAATGCGATGCTGTATCTGGCAAAGCAAACCAAACTTTGGCATGCATCCACCGATGCATCTCAAGCAAAACCAGGGACATCCTCCTCCCGCTCTATTTGGCTTTAGTGAGGCTGCAGCTCGAATAATGTATCCAGTTTTGGGCCCCCCTCTTCAGGAGGGACATGGATAAGCTTGAGAGTCCCAAGGAGAGCCATCTGCATGATCAAAGACCAGGAGAGCAAGCCTTATGAGGAGAGGCTGAGGGACATGGGACTGTTCAGCCTGGAGAAGAGAAGGCTCAGGGGGAACTTGGTGGCAGCCTGTAAGTATATAAAAGGGGAGTGCATCAGGAACTGGGAGAACAGTTGTTCACCAGGACCCCCCAAGGGATAACTATATATCTAATGGCCACAAACTTCTGGAAGGCCAATTTAGATTGGACATAAGGAAAAACTTCTTTACAGTCCGAGAGTCCAGGGCGTGGAACAGACTCCTGCCACAGGTGGTGCAAGCACCTACTCTGGACTCATTCAAAAGGCATTTGGATGCATATCTTGCTGGGATCATTTGACCCCAGCAGACTTCCTGTCTATGGCATGGGGGGCTGGTCCCTTCCAGCCCCCCATATCTATGAAATCCTGCCTAAGCTTAGATGGTCCTTGGGACCACCACATTAAGGCATGCCAATTTCTGTAGCCATTAGCACACAGAGAAGTGATGAAATCTGATGTCCTTTTGCTACAGGTTGGGTTGGAGAAAGTCCTTGATACAAGTCTAGAACAAGGATTAAACTCATGCTTCTGGATCCATAGCAAGATACCTTAGCCAGTCTTCTACTGTACCCTGAAGCATATCTGACATCCCATATTTATGTGTCAAAGCACTTAGGACATGCTAAGCTTTTGACCTATCCATAAGAGCAGTAAAACCCATTAGAACAGCAACTGGTAGCTTTACCGGCAGTGGCCTGGAACAATCTAGTTCCAGGCGGACTTGGGCTGAGTAGTTTGGGCAGCACATCAGTGGTGGGGAGCTTTGCCTTTGCCCACACAAGGGCCAGGCAGTTGAGAGCTGTGCCTACACTGCTTCTGCCTGGTCCTCAACACCCTGGCGTCCAGGCTGTAGCTTGGGCAGAGCTAGAATTTGCCTGGTTCTGGCACGGCTCCCCACCACTTGGAAGCTGCACCCATGCTGCAGCTGAAAGGAGAGGTGTGGAGATAAAGCAGTAGCCTAGATGAAACTCTGTGTTGCCTACCAGTGGTGCAGACAAAGCCCTGTGGCTCCATGATCCAGATTTGGCCCATGGACTGCGTATTGCTGATCCCTGTAGTAGAAGAACAGAAGTATGGTAGAGATGAGCTCAAACTCCAAGGTTCTTCATCCCTAAAAGCTCTGAGAAAGTTGGGAGGGGGGCAAAAAACAGCAACCAGCATGATTGAAAGGACCGAACAGGCTGTCCTTCAAGTGAAAAAGTGGTGGGATCCAAAATGAAGGAGGAAAATCAGTTTCGAAATTGTCCAGATGTTGAAATTATGTCACTGACCAGAAACACACTTGGGTGTGGTTTCTCAATAACGGTGTACTACCAAGCCTGGCAAAGTGCAAGGAAAGTGGCAGGAGGATTAGTCAGAACGAGAGGGAGAGAGTTTGCTTCCAAAAGTGAAGTACTCCTAGGCTGCGTCCAGATGAGCCATTCTCGGGCTGCCAGCCAAGCTCCAAATGGCAGAATTGCTGCGGCTGTGGCTGCAGCCCTGGGAGGCCCCCAGGACCCCAGGTAAGGCTGCTGGAGCCAGCCCAGTGCTAGCCCCAGCCTCCCCTGGCCCACCCAGGGTAACCTGCTGTGTGCCAGAGGGCACATGGCACAGGTGTTCCCCAGGGACATCGAGCAGTGGCACAAGACGTGCCACTGCTAGCCGTTCCTGGGGAACCAAATGTCCATGCTTGTGTGGATGCGGCCATAGTAGCAATTCAGGTGCAAGTGAAAAGGGACTGAGGAAGGCATAAAAATCACAACACATGGAATCGAATTGCATCTGTCCTAGATTTTTAATATTGCTTTGTCTTGTATCAGCAAAGAGTAGGCTGCTAGAGCAAGGGCATAAGCAAGAGATTCCCTCTTTGGATTACAAACTTCCTGAAACAGAAAAACTAGGTCATATCTCTGGAATAACAGGAAAATATGGCAATTTGACACAGAGAACCATGACACTAGGGAAAATGCAGGGTGCCAGGCATGGACTGCACAATACCAGACACAAGCACTTAAAAAGGAGGCAACTCCCCCATTCCTGTGGCAAGCATAAAGCACTTCCTTTTGTGACCTTATTATGCAGCAGTTTTGGGGAACATTTCTCCTCTTAATGTTCAAGGATTTTTGCAGATAATTCCCATTGGTGTTAGCAGGATGTATGGCAGATTGGAACAAAATGTAAATGTAATGCTTAGGGCCTGGTATTCAAACCTGCTGGGCACCCACACTTTGTACCCAAATCAATGTAAAGTGTGGGTACTTAACTTTCTGAAAATCAGGCCCCAGGTCCGACTTGCTTGCAATTCAGTCAGTCATTCCAGGAGCAGCTGAAGCCCAGCACTAGTGAATCCTGGAGCCAGGGAGAAGATTTTGTAATGGCCGTTCCTTTTCCACACCCATTAGAAATTTGTGCTGTGCCTGCAAACCTGAGTTGAATTTTGAATTAATCTAGATAACCCCTTTACTTTGGGTGGAAATCATATAAATTCAGTGGTTTCAGCAGAGTTTTGCTTGGAGATTTGGCGTTAATTGGAATTGAAAGCCAAGTTCATAGGATGTGCAAGCCATGAAACAGAGAGAGAAACTCACATAATCTCTCTTGGAAGCTAGAGTTACAGTTCAGGGTTTTTTCATTTCCATACCCAGGATTTAGCCATGCCTGTATCTTTGGGCATTAACAGGATGGTGACTGGGCTGCAAATTTCCTTTCACTTCATATAAGTTTCCTCTTTAAGCCTTTCTCTTTGAGGTTATTTTATCTGGCAGAGGTTTAGCAGGCCATTGGGTTTGTTTGTTTTATCAAGGGCCCTGCACTCCTGGTTCAGGAATGTGGTGAGCTTGCTCTCAATTAACCTAATGTATGTGAAAATTAAACCCTGCAGTGCACAGCAGTCTGTGGCTGCTTGGGAAAAGCCTTGGGTGCATCAGCTCTCTCTGTGACACTAGGTCAGGAGTTGCATACCTCTAATGGGTCATGCACAGATGTTGGAAGGCAGAGGGATCTGAAGCCAGGGAGGAGATGGGAGGCTAATGCTTCTAGAGGAATTTCAAAGGTGAGCCAGTCTGGAGGCTGGGAGTGGTGGTTAGGTGTGGACTCATGGGAAAAGGCTTTAGAGACCAGTAGGAGAGGGTTCTGGGAACCTCTACTGTGGCATGAAGCTTATCTGGAGTGAGGATGGGGGTTAATTATGTGATTTCCCTTTTTTTAAGGGAAAGGGGACGAACCTAAGCTGAAGTCCTACAGCCA